ATTCTGGAGAATTTATTTTGAAATTGAACTTGAATTGCAGGTTTGACATTTTTCCTATTTATGCCGGCCTCTTGCTGAAATTTCTTTAAAAAGTTATTTTTAAGCTGAAATTAAATAGGAAACCAAACCCATGAATTGGATTTCAATCTTTAAAGAACCCCCAAACTGGTTATAAAATCGTTTGTGAAATTGGGATTCGAGTCAAGACACACTAATAGGAAACAATTAAACATGATTGAGCTTAATTCATTTTAGGAATGAGGAATACTTCCTAAGATATTGCTTTTGTCATAAAGCTAGTGGAGAAGATCGAGCATCAAAGCTTTAAAGAAAGAGGAGGTTAGGGTGACGAGAAGTTAGCTATAGGTTTGACATCCGAGAGGTAGGATATCCCTGATCCCTTTCTTTGTTAGCCTGTTTTCAAAGAGTTTTGGCATTGCAAATGTTTTAAAGAAATGACATGTTTGCGAAAGAAAAACCTTTTGATACCATAGCTTGATTTTAGCTATTGGAATTATAATGAACTATTTCAGAAAGTTTAATGAATGATTTCTTAAGACAAGAGATCTTGCGAATTGATAAGCCTGTTGATGGCGTAGATAGGATATGAAGATCGTATCCTTGGGGGCAGAACCCGAAACCCGGACGGACCACTACGGTGGTGATAAGGCCTCGCTTTGGTCGTAAGTAATTTAATTACTTAAATTATTTGCTGGTGCCTGAAATATGAAATTGCAGTTTATTTACCTTTCAGAAAAAGGTTGTTTGGTTCCGATTGATTATTTCGGGTCTGACTCTCTCATTTTATTCACTTATTTATTTATTCAGTTTTATAAATTATATCCTACTGGGCCTTCCACTCACTTTTATTATGTTTTTAATGTTTTAAACCCCTCCTCCAGAGTTAGCGGTTTAGATTTACAATGTGACAAGTGGATGCCAATGGATTGAAGGTGTGAGATTTGAAGCAGTACGTTTGTTTCAGATTTACATTTTTAAATTCTGAGATGTACTGTATTTTTGTATGTAAACTGTATTGGTCGACATTGTCCCAGAATTGTACTATTTTCTTGAACTTTATGGACTGTTTTAAATATGGAAAATAGTAAAAAATAGGCCAATATGAAAAGCTTAAGAAAGTATATAGGCCAATTTTTAATTATAGAAATTAATAGGCCATAACTTGTCAAGTTATGATTCATAACCAGATAAATTATGGACAAACTTGTCAAGTTATAGTTCATAACCAGACAAGTTATGGACGAAAACAGTAATTTGGCCTATTTATTAACTTATGTAAACTATTGGCCTATTAATTTTAATTCATCTCAAGTCTTGACCTATTTCCTTATTTCTCCCTTTAAATATTATTTATGAAAAAAGATCTTCGGAGTAAACTATATTGATATTTATGTATCTATTTTTGTGATTTTGTTAAACAGTTCAAGTTAAATAAATTAAACTCCAATAAAATAAATAGGGCCGGTGGTGACACTCTCTCTAAATATTTGATCAGCGTATTAGGCTAAATTCCTCTCTTCCTACCTTTTTTTGGTTGAGGCAATGTGGCAAAACAAAAACCAGAGGGGCAATTTTTGAGCCCCCCCTGCCGTGTGTGGTGTGTGCCCATGGGAGTGGATGCAGAGGAGAGAAGAGTTCAAAACTCCTCTAAGCTCTCTTGATTTTCTCAGCCTCCTTGAACGGATTCCGGCCACCAAAACGACGTTATTCCGCTACCGAGTGGAGTGGAGGAGGTAATCCTAAAACTATTAGATTTTCTATATGCTTTAAAATCCAATTTGATAATGTATTTTTGGGTTAAATGTTTTTATCTGTATTGAGAACCCATTAATTTCTGACAAATATATAACCTGAGAATATCTCCAATGATTAATCCTTCTTTAGCAAGTGAGGATCCGCAATTGACCGCCTGAGCAACCCGTGTTGCATCAACTTCAACCTCATTAATTTGTAGACGACATTGTTGGGCGACTAACAATCCTTCACGCAGAGCAACACATTCCGCTAGGAAAGGTGAGAGAGCCTGGAAACTTCTTTGCGATACATGCCAAAACAATCCCCGAACTGTCACGAATAACAACCCCTACTCTAATAGAATCCACACCTTCACGAACAACTGCGTTAGAGTTTAATTTCAAACAACCACTAGGTGGAGGCTCCCATTTCTCGACGTGTTTTGGCTGCTCTGAAATGGGCCTTTCAATCTATTCCTAACATTGCTAGTAATCACCCAACATTCTACTAGCAATGCCTAGCGTATCCTCCGGCTTGGACTGCATCCGTTGATGAACAAATCGATTTCGGACCTTCCAAACAGCCCATGCCACTGCATAGAAATCTTGCACCAAACACACATCCCTTCAAACACATAGCATTGACACCTTTTAATTTTCGCCATAGTGCACTAGAGTCCCAAACTCTACGAGCATAAGAGCATTCCCACAATGCATGCCATGAAGTGTCTATAGCTTCCAAGCATTGCTGACAAGTTGGAGCACAATTTATCCCTCTTCTACCAAGAGACACAAGACACAGGAGAATATGATTTGTGGCTCTCCACATAAAATTTTTAATCTCATTTGGTAAATTAAGCCTCCACAATTTAGTCCACCATCCTAGATCACCTCGACATCCCGATCGACACTGTTCTTCTTTAATCTCCATAGCTAGCGGATAGCTCGATTTCACCATATACCGCCCTTTTGAGTCAAAATGCCACACTAACTGATCTTGACAAAAGCCCTGTCCCAAAGGAATGCGGTTGATAACTTCCTGATCAATTGGGAGCAAAAGATTATTAATCAATATCCGTGGCAGCCGTGATTGGTTGAAAAGTTTCCCACGCCACAATTGCAATTTCTGCAGAATGCAATCTTTAATTGCATTAAATGTTGCTATTGTTGCTATTTTATTATCCCCAACAAATGAAGGGAGCCCAAAGTATTTGTCATGAGAAATATTCACATCAGCTAATCCCAAACATTCTTGTGTATCACTCTTCACATCATCTTCACATTAGGGCTAAAAGTAATCTTAGATTTGGAAAAATTAATCACTTGCCCCAAAGTGTTGGGCATAATCCGCAAGCACATTAGCAATATTCAATCCATCATTCACACTGGCTTTGCAAAAATAATAGAATCGTCAGATATTGCAAATGACTAACCTTAGGTGCTCGCCGGGCGACTAAAATTCCAGAAATCTGTCTCATATCCTCAGCCTTCCGAATTAAGGCCGTACGCACAAGTGAGGAAAAGGTAAGGTGAGAGAGGGCATCCTTGTCAACCTCTTGTTAAAGTATAAAATTATTGTTGACCCACATCTTAATAGCTTAAACTTTTGAGATGAATTAGTAAATTAATATGATATCAAAGTAGGAGGTTCTGAGTTCAAACATATCCCCGTAATTGCACTTTTATTCCCCTTTAAAATTGTCATCATGTGTTGGGTCTTTAATATATCTCGGATTTAAATATTTATGTATTGGACTTTTCAATTAATTTACCCACACAATTGCCCATTGTCTAACCCACACGTGAAGGAGAGTGTTAAAGTATAAAATTATTATTGACTCATTTTTTAATAGCTTATGCTTTTAAGATAGATTGATAAACTAACGACCCTCGTTTTGGCTTGACACATCCTTGACGGACCCCTTCAATAAAAAGGCATCTTAACCGAAGTCACACATTCTATAACCAGGCGAATGGGCTGGGGACCAAACTCCATTTTTCTCATCATGCTCTCAAGAAACGACCATTCAATATGGTCATAGGCCTTGCTCATATCTAGTTTGAGGCCCATGAGACCTTCCCATCCTCCAAGCTCTGAACGAATGGAGTGGAGCACTTCGAAAGCCACAAGCACGTTGTCCGTAATAAGACAGCCTGGGACAAACACACTTTGTTCTTGCGAGATAATCATCGGAAGCACTCTTTTTAATCTGTTTGCCAAAGTCTTTGAAATTACCTTATAAGATATGTTGCATAAACTTATGGGCCGAAAATCAGACACTCACTTAGGATCCTTCATCTTTGGAATCAACACCACTTTAGTATTATTTAGAGGCTGAATGGAACAATGTTCATTAAGCACTCGGAGACAAACAACAACTAAATCAGGCCCAATTAAATCCCAATTCTTTTGAAAGAAAATCGCATGGAAACCATTCGGACCCAACATCGATCTAGCTCGACTTGTAAAAGATATCAAAGACAAAAACAAAACTTCAGGAAGTAATAATCTGTCAAAATTAAAAATTTAGGACCAAAACATCAATATTTCAAACTTCAGGGCCTAACATATTAATAAACCTACATTTTATTGCTAGTAAAAAAAGTATCTATAGGATTATTTTTATTGATGCTCCTTAAATCTTAGAGTCATTTCTAGTTTGTCTCATGAACTTTAAAAATTCATATTTTATCCTTAAATTTTGAATTATTTCTACTTAATCATTTTTGTTATAATTTCTGTTAAAAACAGATAGAAAAAAAGAAAATAGCGTAGTCACATAATTTTTTTGTTTGAATTTTTGTTAAAAAAATAGATAAAAATCATATAATCATACTTAATCTCCTTTTTTTTTTGTTTAATTTAAGTAAAAAAATATAATAAAAAAGTTAAGTAATAACACCTCATAAATTGAGGTAAATTGAAAATGAAACGTAAGATAATCGAAATCTATATTTAGGAGACGTTTGGTTGGAGGATTTAAACCATATTTTGAATCATAATTTATGATTTATTATAGTATTTTTTCTCATAAAAAATACACGTAAATAAAAAATAATTTTAATTACATGATTCTAATCTATGAACCAAACGTCTTAATAAGAAAGGTGCACATACTAAAATAAAAAAATAAAAAAATGGATATTGTTAGTGCACAGATGCGGTGTATATGAATTATGATTCATGAAAAAGTAAAAACCACCGACTTTTTTTTTGAAATAATTTTCGATCCCACATGTCTCTAATGGAGTACTGGTTTGCTGTTATCAACTCTCACGTGCGAAGCACTATGGGCTCTGGAGATCACTACTCTGGGTCGTCGTCGGAGCTGAGTCAGTTGACTCGGGAGTTCCTGGACTGGGCGAGTCAGCCCGAGTTCTCGGCTTGGCTGAGAAGGGTTCACAGGAAAATCCACGAGAACCCAAGCTAGCCTTCGAGGAGTTCAAGACGAGTCAACTCGTGAGATCGGAGCTCGACTCGCTCGGCGTCGAGTACACGTGGCCGGTGGTAAAGACCGGCGTGGGGGCTTCCGTGGGGAGCGGCGCTCAGCCCTGGTTCGCCCTCACATGGACGCTCGTCCCATTCAGGTTCTCTCTCTCCCATAGGCCCAAATTGAGGCCCATTTCTTCTTCAAAGCCCAACACTTTTTTGTATAGTCATAGTCTCAGGTAGAATTTCTTACAAGGGGGAATCATTATAATAACTACTAGCTTAATTTTTTTAGTGCAATGAATTATTATAATGCAATGTATTCCATGAATATGAAGTAATCACATGCAATCATGCACTTGATATAATAAATACGAATATTTTTTTGGTAGGTTTGAGGTTATAGCTTTTATGTTGTCGTTTTTTTTATGTCGAGGAGTATTTAGAAGTTCTTTATTTAAATGCTTAGACTTTTTCCTATTGTCGCGAGTCAGAAATTCTTTAGTGGGACAACTCAGTCTCTAAAAAACTCTATTTTTTAAAAACATGGGGAACAAAAAGTGAAATTTCGAAAGTTGAGTCAGGGGCACATGACCTGTTCTATTATAGCCACTGATTTTAGTGAAATTTCATTGATGCCCTTGAAGGCAACAAACACTGAACTAGTCGAATAGACACTGAGGAAAAATAATAATTAGCTAAAGATAGTATTTTATTGAATGGACACATAATTGTATGTGTTTGCAACTTTCTAGAAATCAATTTTTTCATTTTCAAAAATCAGGAAAGCACACTAAAGTAAAAAAGTATGAATATAAATGTAGAAGAAAATAAAGGGTCTTGGTGATCTTGATAGGCTACTATATAAATCTTAATTTGGTTCCTAATAAGATATCCAAGAGTACTGAGAATGTTTCTCAAACAGATTGAGTCTCTGATCTTTCTCTGAGCAATGGCAAACTACTCACTACTTTCGGCTGTTTCAAGAAGGTTAGTCACAACATATTGCAAATCGATTAGTCTTTTCGCACCCTAACAACGAAGAAGAATTTAACTTCTAACTTTGTTACTGCATATAAGGATTTTTTTTTATTTTTTAAATTCCACGAGAAAACGATCCAAGTTAAATATTACTATTTTGTCTATTTTTACCATTTGATTCCCTTTATCACGATCCTGAAGCCATATCATGATCATGGATCCAGGAATTTATCACGAACTATATAATATATAATATAATTTGACGTGGTTTATATGTGAAAAAAAAAAAAAACCAAAAGGATAATAATTGTTAAACTCAGCAAAATATTACTAGCACTTACATTCTGCTTAAGTTGGTGAAGTTTTGCGTGTCGGTCAAACGTAAAACAGTCGTTTGAAACTCTTTCCTTGTAGTGACTCCTTAAAATCAATTCCAAAATTTGCATTGGACCATTATGTATAAGAAAGTTTTATTGTTTTATCATCATGAAAAAAAAAATAAATGCTAACACTAATAAGAAACTTTGTGAGGATTAATTACTAGTAATGAACCAATTTAATTCAGTCTAAATGTTGTCCTTGTGTGTATCTATCAATCTATCTATATAGGTTAGAGGGAAAGGTGGCTATAATAACAGGAGGAGCAAGTGGAATAGGCGCATTCACTGCAAAAGTATTCGCCAATCATGGAGCCAATGTTTTCATAGCAGACCTCCAAGACGATCTCGGCCGCTCGGTCTGTGAATCCATAGGCGAAACAAGCTGCAAATATGTCCATTGCGATGTCACAGACGAATCCCAAGTGAAAACCGCCGTGGAAAAAGCGGTCAAGGCCTACGGGAAGCTAGACATAATGTTCAACAACGCCGGCATAATCGACGAATACAAGCCCCGTATAATCGACAACAAGAAGGCTGATTTTGAGCGCGTGTTGAGCGTGGATGTGACCGGGGTCTTCCTTGGTATAAAGCACGCCGCTCAGGCCATGATCCCTGCCAGGAGCGGCAGCATCATCGTGACTGCAAGCATGAGTTCGTGCGTCGGCGGTGTGGCGACGCACGCTCTCACCGCGGCAAAGCACGCCGTGGTGGGACTAACGAAAAATGTAGCAGTCGAGCTGGGACAGTTCGGAATCAGAGTGAATTCCCTGTCGCCTTCTGTGGTGGCGACACCTCCGGCGATGACGTTTCTCGGGGTTGATCATGAGGAGGGGGTTGAGAATTTGGCGAGCTCGGTGGCGAACCTAAAACATGTCACGCTTAAGGCGGAGGATGTGGCAAATGCGGCTCTGTTTTTGGCTAGCGACGAGGGAAGATATATAAGTGGGCATAACCTTGTTATTGATGGTGGTTTTAGCGTTGTTAATCCTTCCTTCCACATGTTTCAGTACCCGGAGAATTGATCATCTTTGCAACAAACGGGGAATTTTTTTTTTTTAAAAAAAATTTTCTCAGTTGATTTTAAGGTCACGACTAGTGCTTAATCATCTGATCATATTAATGAGTTTTGTTTTTCTTCCTTTTTTTTCTCGTAAACAGGGAAATTGAAAGTTTTAATGTTACTAGTGCTTCATCATCTGATCATGTTATACACGTGAATGTCGTTTTTGAAGGTTGTCGTTTTTTGGCGTTTATATTGAAATCGTTTGGAATTCATGTCATTCTGCAAGGTCATTGCCCGCTTCTTTGTGGAGGCCGTCGGCGTCGTTTACGTTTATGAGATTTCTCTCTTTTTACGTTTTCGTTTGACTTTACAAGACACTAGAGATGTCGTTCTTAAAGGTACTTTGTTTAATGTGCTGATATAAGAGCTGGCAATTCGTGTCATTTTATGTCGGGTTGAAACAATTTGATTTCACAAAACCCTCAACATGAACACGGTCCGTGACTTGACGAGTTGAAAAATCCTCAACCTGAACATTACCTGTTTCAATTTGATTTCACAAAACCCTCAACATGAACACGATCCGTGACCTGACGAGTTGAAAAATCCTCAACCTGAACACGACCTGGATGGGTTACAGGTGTCCTGCTAACCCGTGACCCTGACTCTTTAAAAAAACACTTTAACTAAAACACCCTTTATATATTTATTTAGTTAAAAAAACACTTCCTTTTCTTATTATGTAAATGCTTAGAGTACTCTGTGCCCGTAAAGTTAGTCATAAAATATCCCTTGAATCTATTATAAATTTTTTTTTATATAAATACTTGAATTTTGAATTGGTCTATGTGTGAGTTACGTTTCTTAATATCCCCTGTATTTTGATATCACACATTTGTGTGTATGTGTGTGTGAGGTATGTTTCTTAATTGGTTCTACTCCCAGTTGATTTTTTCTCTGTTACATCTGGTATCTAAAACCATTATGTAATAATTTATTTTCTCAAGTTTCCAAGTTTCATCAACCCAAGTTAATATTTTCAGCTTAATCGGGCTATTTAACTATTTAGGTTAATCATATAAATGGTCTTTAAATTTTACTCTCAATTCCATTTTAGTTCATAACTTTTAAAATATTCCACATATTATCCTTAATTTATTGTTTTATTTTAGTTTCGGCCACTCTATTTGTGACGACCTTGCTGAGTTAGCCATCACTGTTACTAACTTTAATATGTACGTTCTGAAACTCCCTAAAATTTGAGGTTTTTTTTTACTTACTGTAAAATGCTGTATGAATGCTGTAGCATTTTATTTTATAGCTTAAATAAAATGCTTTATGATTGCTGCAACATTTTCTTTATAAAATGTTGTAGCATTCTTTTTAAAAATACTATAACAACATATATGCTAGTTTCTACTTTTGAACATAGCAAAGGGTTTATACTTCAAAACCAATTTCCTTTTCTAAAGTATAAATTTACATATAGGTATATTTTGCTTCTCAAAAATCATGCTAGTTTACACAACTTAACAATTTTACTACAAGCTTCCAAAATACAAGTTCATAGACATATTTAACAAATCTTTTTTTAAAAAACTTTAAACTATTGCGGAAATAACTGCGTTCGGTATCCATTCCCCGACCTCCACTCCGCTCGTCCACTGCCTCGCCATCAGTCTATCAAGCATTATGAGCATGTTGCTTACCTACATTATAAATACTTTAAAATGAGCTTTCGCTCAGCAAGTAGGAACTATTACTCGCAAAATAACTGTAAGTTCACATGACTATATATGCATGAACTGATTATGCTGACTTATGATGTTTTATCATAGTTTTACTATTTGAACTTACTATCTGAACTTATCTTACTTACTGATGGGCCCGAGTGCTCGTACCACTAGCGCGCAATCATCAGGACGTGAGGGTTTACAAGGTCCCCAAGGACACTGTGATTATAAACTGAACTGAATGCCTCCCTCTTAGAGGACATTATTTTTTTTTTCTTCTCCCTTGCGGAGCCTGAGTTACCTCCCTCTCAGAGGCTGGTACGGCACTCAACTGAGTTTCTTCTTATAGGTTCTTCTTGACTTATTAAGGCATATGCAATATGACATAGCATAGCATATTATAACATGGAATGTACTCAAACACATATAATTCATGAGCACTGCTTAAGTGTATGCAATATGACATAGCATAACATACATATCTTTAAATGTACTCAAACATATATAATTCATGTGTACTGTTTATTTTAAAATCTATTTATACTGTAGGCGTGATTCCTACTTACCTGTTTTTAGGAAGTGGAATCCTCTATTCGCTAAAGAGTCTGTTCTCTTTCTTTCTTGTTTCTGAGAGTAGACACCCACTAAGAGTGTGAGATTAACTATCACTTGCTATTCTATTTTAGCAAGCTTGTAAGAAAGTCTAACTTCTCTATTTATGGCTTTCTTTCTCTTTTCTACCTTAACGGATTATGAAACATTATTTCTAATTTAAAGATTAGGTTTATCAAATCCCCATAACCTTACTTTTCATTAAACAAGGTTCAAACTCAAAATATCTTCTTGAGATTATACTTCGAGTTCTTAATGAACTTTTCTGTTTAACTCCAAAACTGTTTTGACAGTTATGCAATGTTTTTTTTTTTTTTTTTTTTTTTAAGAAAATAGTTTAAAACTTCTATTTAGAACTAAAACCAAGTTTAGCCTCAAATTCTAGAACTAAAACTAGGTTTAACTCCAAACTCTCAAACTAAATTTTGTCAGAGTTTCGCCTTATTTTTCTAGGTTTCCTGAGCTAACTTTAGCTTGATTTATCCATTGTTTTCACCTTCAAACACAAACTAAATCCTTTCTCTTTCAAATACACCATAAATCATAATCATGGTTTTAGGGTTTCTCAACTTTTCCAACAAAATTCTCTATATCAAAATTGCTAGAAACCAAGGTTAAATAACCAAAAATTTAACCTTAGATCCTTAGATTACATGTTATTAAACCATTTCAAGCAAATCTCTAGTTCTAGAAAATTTTTCCCTACTCTTCTCTACACATCCACGGCAGCAAAGAAAAAGAGAAAGAAGAGAAAATCTTCGAATCTCACCTTAGGAAATGAAGGTCAATCTCCGATGACGTGATGCCTCGGTTACTCTGTCGATTTTTTTTTTTTTTTTTTTTTTTTTTGTCTAAATCACTCTTTCTCTCACTTTGGAATTTTTTTCCTCTTCTTTTTTCTCTTGGCTGGACTCCCTGGTTTCTTTCCCACGTGAAAGTGACCATTTATGTATTGGCTTCCTCACTTGAACCGAGTCACCCAAAGCAAGGACAACTTTTTGTAAAATTTTGACTTTTCAAGCACCTTTTTGCAACAAAAAAATCACAAATATCTATTGCTCGCACAAAAGGTTGGCCGGCTGCCCTTCTTTGTTTTGTCCACATTTCAAAATCTCATGCATCCAACCTTTTGTTAATTTAAATCTCAACCATTGATTATTTAATAATTATTCTATTTTGGTTCAGCTTAATTTCCTATCTAGTACGCGTTTTATCCGCGTTTTTCGGACAGTTGGTCAACTTAGTCAACTTTGACCATTCTTCACTAACTTTTTGAGGGTGACGTTTTGGTCGACTCTTGGTCAACAAATTTTGACTTGGTCCACCTAAAACAGTCGAAACCCTAATTTACGCGATTTGGCCTTTCGGACCCATTTTTCGTCCATTTTTCGTTCCGATTATTTCTAAAACCCTAGAATTGATGTTTTTCAATTCTTTTTCATTTCTTAACCTTAAGATACATGTGTTGGCCTACTTGTGGATTTAACACAGTATTCTGCATATCTTTCCTTATTGTCGACTGAAAGTCGGTAACGGTATCTTACATAACTTAAATTTCTAATTACTTACTTGATGTCATCTTGCTTACATAAGCAAGGTTTAGTGAACACTTGGTAATCACCCCTTAATGCTCTATTCTTATAGCTATTCTTATTACTTCATACTAACTTTTGAGAACTTACTTAGTTGACAGGAAATTTCAGTTCCCGACTTTGTCGACTTCTAAACTCATATTGCATTTAAATTTCTTTACTGAAACACTACCCCTTTAATTCCCTCTTATCTGTTTGGGAATTAAGGGTTTTCTCTTTAAATGTCAGAGTGTTTCTCTATATGCTGCTAACATTATACTGCACTGAGAGATTCCTGGAATTAGGATTCTCAAACTGTTCTATGTACTGAGAATTCTTCCACCTTAATTGCGGTAAGAATTTATTAACTAAATTAATTGGTTCTTAAAATATGAACTAATCATAAAACTTGCTACAAAATTTCAGAATATTGATATTAATTTCATAAATCCTTTAGTCACAAAATATGATAGTATATTACTGAGAAAAGTCATTGACTTAAATAAATAAATTTACACTATTTAATTCTAGGATTTTCTCGGTCATTACACTATTAGTTAAGTGTTAAATATATGACGGAATTTGTGGAAAATAAGAACCAAAACTAAAAAATCTAAAATTTAGGGACAATTTTGAAAAATAACTTTTATTTGGTATTGTCTAAGTCCCTTAACTTTAGAATATTTTCCCAATTTTGGTCCCTAATTTCCACATATTCCATCATATATTTTACATCTAACTAATAGAGGGATTAAAATTGGGACAAATAATTGATTGGGGTAAAAAAATGAAACATTTAAAAGTTAGAAACTAAAATGAGATTTGAGATGAAGTCGTGGATCATGAAAGCTTATGAAAGTACCAAAGTTTCCCAGTACTTATGATAATTTTAAGGGAGAGTTTTGTGTTGTGTCATTTTGAATTGTAGGTTACAAAGTGAGATAATTTAATTTATGAGGTCAAAATTCAAATGACCTTTATTTTTCATAATAATGCTCAAGAACACCAATGATGTTGGCACCACAAAATAAAATAAGGTATGTCTCATGCGGTCAATTGATGAGACACACCTTTGAAGAATAATACTCAAAATATCTCATGTATTTTGTCAAAATATTATTTTCGTCTCTCTTATTACGAAAATGCTCAAAACATAACTAGTGTTTTTAAAAACATACCAAAACACCTCCTGAAGTAACTAAATTCTTAAAAATGCCATGGTTACTCTTCCCAAACTATATTAAATGTTCAAATAAAGATTCCAATCAAAGAAATAGTTCAATTACGTTGAGAATTTTGCTTTTTTTTAAAATTGATTTTATTTAGTCTTTTGGTTTAATGATGTTTTAAATAGTATTTAAAAAATATTGTGAAGAGTAATTATGGCATTTAAAAAAATTTAATGAGAAAATTACATAATTTATCCTAGACTGTATGAGTCTAGATTTTTACCCCTCATCTTGGATAATACCCTTTTACTAGTATAGTTATTTGACTAAAAAGGTTATTAATCAAGAATAAGTGGTAGAAATCTTAACCCATGCACTTTTAAAGGGCATTTATCTCCTTTTCCCAAATTAATTACTTCAGAAGGTGTTTTCGATATATTTTTATAAATAAAAGCGATGTTTTGGACATTTGCATAATAAGATAGGCGAAAGTGATATTTTGACAAAATATAAGGGATGTTTTGAATATTTGTTTTCCACCAAATTATTAATTATGATGTTTATAACATGCTCCCAAGAATTTTTCTTTCGTTTTCCACGTTTTTTTTAACATTTTATTTTAGATTAATTATAAAAAATCCCCTTGAATATACCTTTTGTAACACTTTGCTCTCCAATCTTTGAAACGTAACATTCGTTCTCACTGAACAATAAAATGTTAACAAAAAAGCCCATTCCATTAGCTTTTAAGAAAAAATGACATGTAATTTGTTATTTTGGAGTATTTTAGTAGTTTTATAATTTAAAATTTAATTTGAATTTAAAACTAATTTAAATTTGAGCTTCTAATTATGATACATATAAGATTTAATGTAAGTAAAACATTTTATGAATTTTTTTTTTGTAGAATAAAAAAATTTATAAAGTTTTTATTTGAATATTTGAATTAGATTAGATTCAAATTAAATTTTAAACCATAAAATTATCAAAATGGCTTTGAAATAGTAAATTAAATGTTAATTGCAGTTCAAAACCTAATAAAAGTGACTTTTTTTGTTAACATTTCATTATTCAGGAAAAACATATATTACACTTTAAAAATAAAGCGATAAAATGTTACGGGGTATAATTTAGAGAGAATTTTTGTAAGTAATACTTTTATTTTTTAAACTCGTGGTTGGTATGCACTGCTGTATGCTCATTCAATGGTTCCATTATAGTTTTGTCATGTTGCTGAGTTTTTCTGCATCCTATCAAAGTGAGTGGCAACATGTTACACGAAATTCACATGCCAGATTGGACACAATGTACGGTACTAGCGCTGAATAAAATATAATTGAGTCTCTGGCTTTTCACTGGCATTATTGAGAAACAAATAATTGAGACGTTGGCACTCCCTCTCAGTCTGCAATGGCTACAACTTCGCTATTATCGGCAGTCTCAAGAAGGTTAGCAAAAAAATAAAAAATAAAAAAACAAAAAATGTGATATTTCTGATTTTCTCTTTGTTCTTATTCTTTTTATTTATTTTTTCAATAGGCGAAAAACATTATTATATATATGATTTAGTCCTGAATTAGATATAAAATTCGTTAAAATTTTGCTATTTTGAAAATCAAAGTTTTAAATTAGCAAGAATATTTAAAGATAAAAAAAAAAAAACAAAAAACAAACTACAAGCGCGCGCTAAAAACCTTATTCTTTAACACGATCATCTTTTTGTAGATCTATGCATACAGCAACATGTCTTCATTATAAAGTACTTAACTCATAACAAATAAATTAAAGCTGGTACTAGTTTTCTTTTTCTTTGCAGCCCCGTATCAAAACTTTACTAATCTTTGCCTCAAAACCGTGGAGTAACTATTAGAACTTCGTTCTCTTTAGTATAGATTGGATAGTCTCAAAGCACTTTGGGATTGAGAAGGCACAAAAATTTGTGGTTGTGTGTTATCACATAAAGTCACATCTCAACTCGAATAAAAAACTTAAATTAGCGAACTAAACGAACCGTAAAAGGAAAACATAATTAATTGAGAGCTAATTTAACAACTAATTTATGTAATTGTGCAGGCTAGAGGGGAAGGTGGCCGTGATAACCGGAGGAGCAAGCGGGATTGGGGAATGCACCGCGAAAGTATTTGCTCATCACGGAGCCAAGCTAATCATAGCTGACATCCAAGATGCCCTCGGCCACTCACTCTGTCAATCCATAGACGAAACAAATTGCAAATACGTCCATTGCGATGTCACAGACGAAACCCATGTGAAAAATGCTGTGGACAAAGCTGTGAAGGCCTACGGAAAGCTTGACATTATTTTCAACAACGCAGGCACAAGTGACAAGAGCTACCTGCGAATCCTCAAAGATCAGAAGAATGATTTCGAGCGTGTGATGAGCGTGAACGCAACGGGAGTTTTCCTAGGCATAAAGCACGCTTCTCGGGTTATGATCCCTGCCAGAAGCGGCAGCATCATCTCAACTGCCAGTGTGTGTTCCTATATTGGTGGTGCAGCCTCACACGCCTATACCGCCTCAAAGCACGCCGTGTTAGGCCTAACAAAAAGTGCAGCGGTCGAGTTGGGGCAATACGGAATAAGAGTGAATTGCTTGTCGCCGTATGGTGTGGCGACGCCTTTGGTGGAGAAATTTTTGGGGCGAAAGAAAGGGGACATTGAGAATTTGTTTAGTTCCGCAGCCAATTTGAAGAATGTGACGCTTGAGGCAGAGGATGTGGCAAATGCAGCCCTGTATTTGGCTAGTGATGAGGCAAGGTATATAAGTGGGCATAACCTTTTTGTTGATGGAGGTTATAGCATTGCTAATCCTTCCTTCAACATGTTTCAGCCTTGATCACGCTTAATAATGTGTCCACCACAAACGAAAGATGAATACTTTGTGTGAGAACATATTTTTGTATCTCACTAATTATATTATAGTTTTGAAAGTGGAGGGTAGTTTTATGGGGGAAAAAAATACCTTATTTGAGTGGAATCGAAAAATAAACACCTTTATATTTATAAAAATAAGGATTTTTATACCTCTATGTTTTTAATCCTAAGTCGCTGATAGCTTCAGTTGTTAAAATTGATCTTCTTTTTGCTGCGTGGTGGTTGAGAATGCTATTTACTTAATTGTGTTTTGTGTTATACATGTTCCAATTAATTATCTGATTTCCAAATTTATGTCTTGGTCCATGACACCCATGATGAGAACATTGATTGATATGATGATCTGAATAACACATTTTTAGCATGCGAGTACAAAAATTATTCTCTCATACAGTACTATTTTCGATGTTAAATTTAGTATATGTTATACTTGATAGTATATTTAACACCACGTATAGCACATTGTTAAATTTTTGGCATTTGATTATATTAGTGGTAATTTTATGTATTTATATTTTCATTTAATCATATTGCAAGATTGGTGTTTTAAAATTATTTTACAATTAAAATCTTATTTTTACCATTTCAAAATTTTTTTATTTTTATAACTTTATTTTTCAAAGCTTAACAATTATAAAAAAAAAAAAAGAAATAAATTCAACATTAGAAAGGTTTTGTTTTACGTTATCTGGTGCCCAAGCAGCCGGCTAAAACAAACAAATAAAACTCAAATTAATCTGATCCTGACATTGGAGTAGCCACCAACAAGTTGTCTCTATATTTGTCACATTATTTTAAGTTCTTATTAAAAGAAAAAAAAAAAAAAACAAAACAAAAGTTAGTTCATTTTCAAGAAAAAGAATATATATAACTTTCGTGACAAATAGACAACTTCTGTGACAGCATATATATAACTTATTTTCTTGAAAGTGAACTAACATTTGTTTTTTCAATAGGAACTTACATATAATGTGACAAATAGTCAACTTGCCTAAGATGCCATATAACTTGAATTTATCGAGAGATTAGCTAGATTTCCTCGTCTATATCTTGTTAAAATGCCATTCTCAATCTTTGGTTCCCGTTAACTGTTCTCTCAAAAGACGAAGAATTTTATTTCTATTTTTACTTTTTTTTTTTTATGGAAAAGACTGAGGCTTAACAAGATCAAATCTCTCTTTTCTCTGAGCAAATGGCGACTACTTCACTACTCTCCGCTGTGTCAAGAAGGTAAGTTGTTGTAAAACATTGCAAATTAACTATTTACTTTATCAGTAATTTGTGTACGTTCATATAACGAAGTTAAACTTTAATATACACATATATTCCCTTTAAATAAAAAGAAATTAAACTTTAATATACACATTAGTCCTTTTTTTTTTCAGTTGTGTTTATAGTTAGGTATATACTTTTCTTTTCAATTCATTGAGGTTTCTTATTATAGATTCAACATTCTATAAGAATTAAGCCTTAAAAATATTAAAGAAGCACAAACAATTTCATTTCTTACCCATCGATTAAACTTTTGCTTTAGGCATTTATGTACAAAAGGGGGTGTGGTGTTGTTTGCTCTTTTTTTTTTTTAATTAATTTTTGCAAAATTCGTGTAGTTTGTTTTGCACACAAAGTGATAAGATGATCTAGAATATGCCAACATCAATGTTATATCTGTCACTAAAAAGTGCAAAATTAACATATTTGATGTGCTATTTAATTTTGTGCTTCAATTTATGACGTTATTTCAAACATTATATTTACTTTTGTCGTAATCGTTATATTGTAAACTTTTAATTAATACTCGTTGAAAAACATATAATTATTAGGGTTTCATTTAAAGAAATAAAACATGTAAAATATGACAAAAATGATAAGAATGAAAAGAATAGGGGAAGAAAAGAAAAAAAAAAAGAGTAAAAAAAAAACAAAACGTTTCATCAGGGGAACACAATTTAGAAAAAAAAAAGGCAGGGATATGTATGAATATAAATTATTTAAATGGAAAATTAAAAAGAAGTATATTTATGAGGGTCAATAAAAATGAAAAAAAAAAGGAAAATGTATAACAGGGCAAAAAAGATAAAAATTTAAAAAGGGTAGACAAAAAAAAATGAAAAAAAAAAAGAGGGGAAAAAGAAGGATAGTTTAAAAATGAAAAGAAAGAAATAAATAAAGTTTAGAAAAGAAATAAAAATGGGGAAATAAAAAAACGCAAAACAGGGATAAGGGAACCTCCCAAAAAAACCCATTCACGTATTGTTGCACAGATTAATAATATATATTAAAAAATACCAATTTTTCAATGGCTAAATAAAAAGTTAAATAACATCAATAGCAATTAAATACTAAAATTTACTAAAGAATAACACATTTCATTGGAGTTCGAGTGTCTGACTCGAATGCTAAAATTTAACGCATGTTTAGTTCGTTGATTAGAGTTTTTAATTCGAGTTGAGATGTGACTATTTTTAAGAGTTTTTTACTATAATAAAACTCAAATTCTAAACTCTAATCAGTGAAATGAACGGGGTCTTAGTATTAGCAGACTAATTTTATACTACATTGCATACTCACTTAAGTCCATGGTGAATGTAGGCTTGATGGAAAAGTGGTTTTGATAACTGGAGGAGCCAGTGGAATTGGAGAATCCGCAGCCAAATTGTTTGCTCATCATGGAGCCAAAGTAGTCATAGCAGACATCCAAGACAATCTCGGCCATTCGGTCTGCGAATCCATCGGCCAAACAAACTCCAAATACGTCCATTGCGATGTCACAGATGAATCCCAAGTGAAAAATGCCGTGGACGAAGCTATTAAGACCTATGGAAAGCTAGACATAATGTTCAACAACGCAGGCATAATTGACAAGAGCAGCCCTAGAATCACCGAAAACGAGAAGGCCGTTTTCGAGCACGTGCTGAGCGTAAACGTGACCGGGGTCTTCCTAGGCATAAAACACGCCGCTCGGGTGATGATCCCGGCGAGAAGTGGCTGCATCATTTCAACCGCCAGCCTGAGCTCTTGCATTGGCGGCACAGCCTCACACGCCTATACCTGCGCAAAGCACGCGGTGTTAGGCCTTACGAAAAACGCAGCCGTTGAGTTGGGACAATTCGGAATCAGAGTGAATTGCGTGTCGCCGTTCGGAGTAGCGACACCTATGGCGATAAAATATGCCGGAAGTAGCGCGGAAGACCTCGAGAATGGGATGAGTTTTCTGGCCAATCTAAAGAATGTGACGCTCAAAGCAGAGGATGTTGCAAATGCAGCTCTCTTTATATCTAGTGACGAGGGAAGGTACATAAGTGGGCATAACCTTCTCATAGATGGGGGTTTCGCCATCGCTAATCCTTCTTTCAACATGTTTCAGTACCCTGAGAATTGATTATGATCTCATTGACCAAACAAAAAACTTTAATGAGTATTTTGAGTTCACTTAAATACGGGATATTTATCTTTTTATATTTTGTGTTTTGAATTTATTCAAAAACTATACTTTCGATTTTGATCTCATTACCTTTTCACAGTCAATCCTTAATTTTAACATTTAAAATACCTAAAAGACCCCTGAATAAAAAAATAAAAAAGGAAAAAAAAAACTAAAAAAACCTTAAACTTACAGTTTTGACCTCAAAAAAATAAACAAAATACCATTGAAATGGATTTTTTTTTTTATGTTTTAAATTTTTATTGTTTGTGATGCTGGAAAGTTTTAGTTTCTTTTCTCTTTTTTTTTGGGACAGTTTTGTTATTTTAAAGGTTAAAATCAATCATTGACTGAAATAAGGTATAGATTCGTATATTAAATTTAATTTGAAGGTATACATTTGATTAGATTAAAGACCGAAGGTATACATTTTGAATAAACTTAAACACATGAGATAAAAATAAAAATATCCCCTTAAATATTGTAGCATGTCAAATATAATGTTATAATTAAGGTGCTGATTACAAATTTAACATTTAAGTGCAAAAAATAATCTCTAATGTAATGTTATTTGTTGTGTTAAATTTCACATATGCTATATTTTGTGACAAATATATTTCTCACCAAGTATAGTATATAAGAGATTTGACATTTAATTACTATTGCTTGAAATGTTTTCTTTTTCATGTAATCATTACAACTTTTACATTTTCTAATTATTTTAAAAATAAAAGTTTACTTTTACGACTTTCAAAGCTTAATGAAATAACATAACATATCACACTTTTTAATATTAAATACATAATTGATATTAACATTTCCGATGGAGATGGTCTAACATACTCAAGCACTTGATCCCAACAAAGAAAACTTTGTCGTTTATGTAGAGATGCAACAATGGGCCGGGACCCATGGGCCGGCCCAGGCCCATCCTGACACAGTGATGGGCCTGGCCGGCACGACCCGTCACTGCTCAAGGCATGACCAAACTCATAAATATTGGTGGGCTGGGCTAGGCCAACATATATCGACCTATGGGCCGGCCCGGCACGGCCCATGAAAAATCATGGGCCAGGTCGGGCTTGAGACGGGCTGGACAGCCCGGCCTATCTAGGCCCATATTGGGCCAGCCCGGCCCATCTAGGCCCATAATATTTATATGTTTTTTTTTTCTTTTTTTAGTAATTTTGTAAGCATCTTATGTATAATTATCTTGATTGTACTATTTTTTCTTTACTAAGGTTTTGTCCCACTCGGTTTTTCTTAGAAATGTTTTTATTTAATGAGACAATCGTAAATAAAATATCACTTTTCATATTTTCATTTAATATTCAAACTTTTATATTTGTTAACTTGTTTAAAAATTTAAAAATAAAAATTAAAAATTACATACTTAGATGGGCTGACCCATCTAAACCCATGATGGGCCAAGATGAGCCTTGAATGAGCCAGCCCATTCAAGACCCACGGCACGGCCCATCCTGACCCACGGCACGGCCTAACCCGGCTTACGTAAAATTAGCCTGTGGAGTTGGATAGATTGAGGTAATTTTTATACGGGCCGGCCCGGCCCGGCCCACAAAATTCGTGGGCTAAACCAGTCCGTCCCAATCCCGCGTGGGCCTAAGGAAAATGGGCCCGGCCCGGCCCGTTCTTACCTCTCTACTTTTATGTTTTTTGCGCGTTCAACAAATTTGTGTTAAAATTTTAGGGATTTTACAGGAAATGCGCACAATAGATTAATTTAGAAATTTGGAATATTCGGTGAACTAAGCAAATAAGAACGCTAAAACAACTTTTACCAGGGTGATTTAGAAGAATGCCGCTTTTAGAGAATTGGTGTTATATAACACTTCGTTGAAAAGATTTGAGAATAATTTATGTACAAAAATTGTACGAATGAATAACTAGAACTAGACCTTTTATATGACTTGGTTCAAATCCACTAGAGTTTCTTGTCGTTTCTGTATTTAAGTCGTTTGTTCAAATATTGCTGTTTCCTTGTTTGTCTCTCTCTTTTGGGGCTGCTGTAAATATGTGGTTGTTGCATCTTTCTTTCCTTGAGGTCGTTTTGTATTTAAGTAGTTCGTGTCGTTTCATGCTTCAATGTAAATTTCTTATTTTCTTGTCACTTTTATTTTATGTCGTTTCAACCTTTTCAGGAGAAAGAGATTTAAAAAAAAAATACTTTTATTTTATGTCGTTTCAACCTTTTCAGGAGAAAGAGAAAAAAGAAAAAAAAAATTATCGCTTTTTCATTATCTGTGGATTCTAGTTGTTTTAGAGAGTTCTTATTTCTACTTTGTTCTCACTTATAATTAATGTTCTTTTTATTTTTCGTTTGGTTGGAGGATTCAAACTATGTGATTCGAACCATTTTCGATTTACGTGTATTTTTTGTGAGAGAAAATACTGTAGCGAACCACGAATCATGATTCGAATCAGGGAACGAATCCCTCTACCAAACGCCCCCTGTGTTTCTAGTTCTTCCACTTGTTTACTTCTTTTACTATATTTACTTTTTCACGTAGGAAATACAGTCAACAACCTTAGTCCGTTTTTTCTTTCGGCTTTTTTGAAAATTTTAAGAAACTGTTCTTTTTCACTACGTACAGTTGTTTTAACTCTTAGATTAATTTTTAACAGCAGCACTTTTACATCACCAAATTTTAAAAATGACCATACACGTCGGACTATTAAAAAATTAATTCAATAATTAAAATAACAGTTTCTACCGATAATGAAAACGGACAATTCCGATCATACAAATCCCCTTTTCTTCTATTGACACCGATTGAAGATGATATGCGAAAATGCATGTATCGAATCGTAGAAAAATCCATACATCAAAGCGACAAAAGCATGAGTAACGCCATCAATCGCCTAACTTTGCTCTCTTTTCCTATGCTGACCTACATCCACCGGAAAAAACAAACAACTTGGTACGTCACAAACTTGGTAATAATCTGAATTCTGAAGACTATAAAATTAAGCATTAGTTAGCTAGTAGTGCTTATCTCAATTAACCCAATTAACAAGATCGACTCTTTCTCTCTCTAGTCTCTAAACAATGGCAACCATTCCATCATTATCTGCAGTGCCTAGAAGGTCAGTTAAAAATTAAATCCTATAGTTTTTTAACCCCAAAAAAAAAAGGTTCCACACAAGTAATATTGTTATTTGTGATTAGCGTTTCATTATTATTATTATTATTATTATTATTATTATTATTTAAGAACAAATTAAATTGTACAATAGGCTTGAAGGGAAGGTGGCTTTGATAACTGGAGGAGCAAGCGGAATTGGCGAATGCACAGCTAAAGTGTTTGCCCATCATGGAGCCAAACTAGTCATAGCAGACATCCAAGACGATCTCGGCTATTCAGTCGTCGAATCAATCGGCCAAACAAGCTGCAAATATGTCCATTGCGATGTCACAGACGAATCCCATGTGAAAAACGCCGTAGACGAGGCCGTTAAGACTTACGGTAAGCTTGACATAATGCTCAACAACGCAGGCATAGCTGACGAGAACAAGGCACGAATTATTGACAACGAGAAGGCTGATTTCGAGCGCGTGATGAGCGTGAACGTGACTGGAGTCTTCCTCGGCATAAAGCACGCTGCTAGGGTTATGATCCCCGCGAGAAGAGGCAGCATCATAACAACCGCCAGTATGTGTTCTCATATTGGTGGTGGATCCTCACATGCCTATACCGCGTCGAAGCATGCCGTGTTAGGCCTAGCGAGAAACGCGGCCGTTGAGTTGGGACAATTCGGGATCCGAGTGAATTGCTTGTCACCTTTTCCCCTATTGACGCCAATGACTTCAAAATATTTTGGGTCGACCAACCAGGAGGTCCTTGAGAATACATTCAAGTCATGGGGAAATCTAAAACATGTGACGCTTAAGGCAGAAGATGTTGCAAATGCGGCTCTATATTTGGCTAGTGATGAGGCAAATTATATAAGTGGGCATAGTCTTCTCATTGATGGTGGTTTTAGCATCGTTAATCCTTCCCTCAACTTGTTTCAATACCCAAATGAGAATTGATTATGTACCGGAGGCAAAAAGTTTTCATGGTTTAAAGTTTGATCAGTTTATTTCCAATAATGTATTCTTAGGTGCTTTATCTAAATAATATTTAAAAGTACTTGTATTATCTGTTATGCTTGTATCTCTACAATGTACTATTTTGTGGCTGCTTAATTTCGTTTTTTTTTTTTTAGCATATGGCCGCTTAATTTCCATGTTAAAAGAAATCTATAGTATTAATTTCTTATTTTATCTATTTGAAAGAGTACTGTTTGTACGTAAAGAAAAGCAGCTAAAGGGAAAAATCCCCAATGGGAGAGAAACAACTCTACTACATTGATTTTTAAGTAATGATAGGTGAGAGAGAACAGATTGCCTTTCACCGATATTCTGCCACCACCTGTGTGGTGGACTAAGAGTTTCTTCTCTTAATTTCATTTACTTTTACTTTTTCTTTTCAATGTTGAGAGGCTAATGTTATATATCGCTATTAGTAGAGATTATCATTATTGTCAACAGTTTATTCACATGCAATGACTTTAAGAACTACAAATTATTGCTCAAAAACTTAAATTAATATTTTTCTCTTAGTTAAGAAACCAATGGTAAAATCGCCATAAATGGTTTTATAAGCACTTTTTCTAATTTTAATGATTTCGCTTTTTCTTATTTTCTTCAGTTCGATTCTTTTTGTCTTGACTGATGCGTAGAGGGAACATTATAGTATATTGCCTTCAAATACGTCTTTGAAATTTCAATAAACACCAAAGTGTCAAGGATATTTGGAAAGGTATGACCTATAACGTTATCAACTAGCCTGAAGAATTTTTCCAAGAAACTTCACATCACTAGGAAAATTGGCAACTGGTCCAATATATGCATAATATTGCTAATCTTTACTTTTAATTTAGGATATTGGACTTGTCAGGGTTAGTCAAATTTATCTTTTATACCAAGTTTCCAAGAATAAGAACTAGATAGTCTTTATGTTGGGAAGACACTACAGATAAAATTAGACTAACACATTTTAAGAGTCCAACTTGACCCAAAAAGTTAACTTATTAGGTATTGGGTCTTTCTATTTCTATAAACCACTTCACATTCTCATCCACTTTTTATGTAAGACAACATACACATGCACTTTTCTCAACAATCTCCTCCCCATGTGTGTGTTTATTGAGCTCGTTATCGAACCAAAATTTCTAGTAACCGGCATATCCAAACATCACACCCTAAATTGGAGCCAAACTCGAGCATGGGAAAGAGAACCTGTGACGACCCTCCTATGGCAGAATAATTTTTTTTTTTAAATAATAACTACTTGAAACATAAGAAGGAAAAATTTCATAAATCGTAATAATAATTTCCTAAAATGAAATATTAAATTTCTTAAAGTTTTCTTAATTTCAACTAAAATAAGACCTTATAATCTTTCAAATTGAGTAGCGTTTGAACTCTTGTTTCAAATACTCCTTAAAAGTCTTTCTAAATCTAGCCAGTTTAATCAAACCATCTAATATGACTTTAAAACCGAAATTTATGGGAAATCTTAAATTCAAATACTTCTTAAAGTCTTTTCAAAATCAATCATTTAAATCACCATATTTAGAAATTCGTATATTTGTTGCACGGATTGTTGCAACATTTTAAAACTTAAATACTCATGACTAGGGTAATTAGCTACAACCTCGGTTTTCTTTAACATACATATGTACATATATTTTTCAAACATACATACTTGAAACCTTTGAATCATATATACATGTACATGATTTTATTTAAACTTACTGCTGAAGATTTAAGCGTAAACGGTATCCATTCTCATCTCCACCATTCGTCCGCCACTCACCATTGCCCTTTAAGAATTGCAGATAGGATTCTTACCTACAACATGAACATATTTGATTGAGCTTTCGCTCAGGAAGTAAGAAATCATTCTCGCAACACATAACTTTAAAAACATTTAATAAAATATGCATGAGCCAATTATGCTTCATTATGAACATGCCCTAAGAATTTACTAATCTTGTCTTACTTAACATGGTGAGCTTGAGTGTTCGTACCGAGATGTGCACACAATCAACGGGTAGAGAGGGTTTACAAGGTCCCCAACTACACCGTGACCCTGATTTACCTCCTGAGGCCATAAATAATTGCCTCTTCAGGACATAAATGATTGCCTCCTCAGGCAATAAATCCTTTCCGTAGGTCGAGAGGTTGGTGCAACACTCTTAACTTTTTCGTTTCACTTGTCTTATTGTGAGTATGCAGTATGACATGCCACTACATAACATCACATTCATAAACGTAATCATCCTTATCATAAGGTGAGTACGCAAATATAATTTAATATTGCATATCTCATATAACATATAACATCATAAGTCATAGACTGACATTTCTCAACATAACATATCATGAAATAACATGGCATATCGTGTCATAACATAGCATACCGTGACATAGCATATCGTGACATAACAAGGCATAATATTGATCATGTATTTCCATAATATTTGCTAAACGGGTAAAAACATCTTTGTTTGAAAACCGTAGTTTTCATGCTATAGGCGAGATTCTTACTTACCTGGTTTCCAGTTAAAGCAGAATTCTCAACTCACCCACACCTTCTATCCCTCTACTGTTAAGTTTTGTAAAGGAACGCCTATTCAGAGTGTAAGATTAACTTTTAGTATGCTATTTTTATTTCGCACAGTCATAAAGTAATTAAATCTTTCCTTAGAATGTATTTTTCCTTTTTACTAAGAATCAAAAAAATTTATGATTTCTATTATAAGGATTAATTAAATCCTCATAATTCTGTCTTCCTTAATTGCCATTACAAATTCGTGCTAAATTGATAATTAATTAATTATCTTATCCATATAATAAGTCTAATAATTTAGTCAACTAATTTTAGTAATTAATTAACTCTCTTATTCATATACTAAGTCTACATAATTTAGTTAATTAATTTTAGTAATTAATTAATTTTCTTAATCATATTCTAAGTCTTAGATAATTTAATTAATTAGTTTAATAATTAATTAAATTATCATCCATAATACACTTGTAATAAATTTTACTTTACCGCACTTGATGAGCTCATAATAGTGTTGAGGTCCGTATTTAAGATTGTAATAAGTAAGGGTTTACCGTATCGATTTTTACGATTTTCTCTAACACGCTTATTTGAAAACCGTTAAGTTTTATTAGAAAATTATATACGACGTTTAACATAAACATAAACATAATTCACGAATCTCATAATTAACCTATTTCGTGAAAATTATACGCCTTAAGTGGCTGTCTTAATTAAACTGTAAGCAAGGTTTGTACTTGCCTGGATTCCGAGTTAAGCGACCCCAGTAGTATCTCGCTTGTCATGTCCTCCTGAGTATTCCTCGAAACTAATTCTGGGAAGAACCACAAGCACTATGAATGATCCTTGAGGAACATCGAAGCGTTAAACACTTAATTCTGATCTTCACTTGTTCAGTCTGATTCACCTCGATCCGCGTATAACCAATACCGGACTATTTTTATCAGAGTTGAATTTGACCAAACGGAGGTCACTGTTACGTTCAGTACGTCAAAACGAGTTAGGATATGATCCCAGATCATCAAACGGATGCCGGTAGCCTGAAAAATGACACCTCGCCGAAATTTAGCCCCTGGCAAGGCGGCAGCGGCAGCGTACGGCGGTGGCGGTAATCGGAGGATTTTTCCGTGGTGGACTTGGGTGCTACCCCTCTAAATTGACCCTTCTGAGTCCATTGGTGCCGTCAAGTTCACACAATTCGGCCTCTAACAGTGCAGATCGGGATTGTCAACGTCAACAAAATCTAACAACTCAGATCTTGATTCTCCGGCTAGATAACCTTAAAATTAGTTAAGGGCTTTTGTTACCCACTTCCTTTTGAGTGTTTTGATACCAACATAATGACAATCCAACGGTTAGATCGTCAGAACCACCTCTTACCTCCACGGACGACGGCAGTGGCTCTGTTTTCAGGCCAAAATGCGACGACGACGGTGGCTGCTGGTCGGGATCTACTGGGCGTCAGCTTCTGAGTCAATTAGTGGGAGCGGTGACATCCACGGTGGCCTGGAGAGAGAGAAACAACGGCAGTGCGGCAGCAATTCCGGCCACCACAGACGGCGGCGTTCCGGCCAAAATTGAGCTGTGAAAATGGATGGGTTTTCTTTCGGTTTCTTCATTCTAAATCTGTAAGAACTGAAATCACCTCAATCGGAGGTCAGATGACGAAGATATCACGACGGGAAGAAATGAGTATTTTCAGAACTTCTGCCGACGATTGCGGCTGATTCCGGCGTAATTAGAGGTCGTACCACATATCGTTGAACTCAGCTTGTCAAGATCTATCTATTGACACCAACTGTATCAAAAATGGAGGTCTCGATCTCAAATTGAGTTTTTGGTCATGAATGATTTTGGCTGAAAACAGTTAAAAATTAGCTTTTATTATACTTCTCACACTTCTTTTCATGTCCTTATTCAACTATCTACAAAATTTCTTCCTTAGCAATCTAGTATTGTACTCTGAACAATTTTGCAACAATGTAATTCTTCATTGCCTAATAGAATCGTATTAATTTTAAATCTTAAAATTAATTTAAAATTAATAAAAAAAATTTAAATGGGATTTAATCGGTATAAGTTTCTCAAAATTAATATAATAGTCGACAGTGTCGATTCTCATGTTCGGTTAGCGTTTTTATCAAAAAACACCACCCGCGTAACTCTGATTTCACTATTTAGCAATTAAGGACTTTTTAAGTGTTAGAGTGTCTCTCAACACTACTAGCACCAAACTGATCTTAAAATTTCTTATAATGAAAATTCTCAAGTCTTTGATGTATTGATATTTCTTCTGCCTTAAATCGCGGTAAGAGGTATCAATTAAATCATTTCGATCATGAAATAAATTAACTTTAACTTAGAATTTCATATAAGTTTTTCTTTTTTTTTTTGTAATATTAATAATTCCGTAAATCCTTAAATCATAAGGCATGATAATTTACGGGAAAATCCTTAACTTGACTTTTCTACTTTTACCTCGAAAATGACATAATTACTAGCAATGTTAATTCCCGAGCTTGGATAGCTTAGAAATTCTTCGAATTAAAATTCTCAAGTTATTTTCATATTAAAATTCTTTCCAC